TCTGTAACAATCACAAATATATTACTAGGGTTCTGCATTTGATTTGATTTGATTTGATTCAAATATTTGATTTTAAATTAAATTCAAATATAAATTTTCAAATCAAATCAAATTCAAATTGAAAGATCAAATATTTGATTTGATTTGAAAATATTTATAAATAGCTAAAATTTGAAGAGTTATAGTTTCAGACACCATTTTTTCAAAAGTTTATTAAGACAATTGCTAATTTGGTTTTATGAAACTAGGGCTATTTTAATTAAAAAAACATTTTTAATTTAGTATACAAAATTGTTTAACTTAATAAAATTTTGTGAAAATCAAAGATATTCATAAATAGCTAAAATTTAAAGAGTTATAGTTCTAGAGACTATTTTCTCAAATTTTATTAAGAAAATCGCTAATTTGGTTTTAAGAAATTAGAACTATTTTAATTAGAAGAACATTTTTTATTTAATTACAAAATCGATTAGCTTAATAAAATTTTGTAAAAATCGAGTATATTTATAAATAGCTAAAATTTAAAGAGTTATAGTTCTAGAGGCTATTTTTCAAAATTTTATTAAGACAATCACTAATTTGGTTTTATAAAACTAGGGCTATTTTGATTTAGAAAACATTTTTTATTTAATGCACAGAATTAATTACTTAATAAAATTTTGTAAAAATTAAAGATATTTATAAATGGCAAAATTTATAGAGTTATAGTTCTAATACCTATTTTCTCAAAATTTTATTAAGACAATTGCTAATTTGGTTTTATGAAACTAGAGCTATTTTGATTTAAAGAACATTTTTATTTCATATACAAAATCGATTAGCTTAATAAAATTTTAAGAAAATTGAAGATATTTATAAACAGCTAAATTTAAAGAGCTATAGATTTAGAGGCTATTTTTTCAAAATTTATTAAGACAATCGCTAATTTGGTTTTATGAAACTAGGTCTATTTTGATTAGAAGAAGATTGTTTATTTAATTTACAAAATCAATTAGCTTAATAAAATTTTAAAAAAATTGAAAATTTTTATAAATAGCTAAAATTTTAATTTGATTTGAAATTTTAAAATCAAATAATCAAATCAAATTCAAATCCAAATTTTTTAAATCAAATCAAATTCAAATCCAGATTTTCAAATCAAATCAAATTCAAATAAGTCTAATATTTGATTTGATTTGATTTTGAGAAACCCTATATATTACTCAATTCTAATACTTATAACACTCCTTCTCAAAACTTCCTTTTCCTTATACAAGAAACAATTTCTCTTTGTATTACTGATCAACTACAATCTATCCTTCTAAAAATACTACCAACTTTTGCTTCTGTCTATCTAATAATCTCTTTTTTTGGTTTAACTTAAATATTTGGCAAACTAGAAACTGATTCCAATATAACTGGGAAACCTCAAGAAATATTACATTTAAATTCAAACGAATCAAACTTTTCTTCTCAAATACTACTACTAGAACTCTTATAACAACAATCTATAATCACAATATTGACTCATTTATTCAAAAATAGCATAATCAAAACTTTTCTATTTTTTCATGTTTTTATTAATCTTATATTTTAACTATTGGGCTTCATCTTTTCCCTTCTATAACTAATGATAGCTAGTCTTAAATTAGTTTACAAATAGAAAATTAAGAGGTGTTTTGCTACACTTAGGTGGTTATACAGGATATAATAGATAGTTTAAAATTAATATCATCTTGATACAAATCTGTAACTAATCTTATCATATATATAGCAAATTCAAAAAAAAAAAAAATTACATTTTAACCATCAAACGTTGCTTTTTGATGCATTAACATAATTATTGTCTAGAGCGTAACAACAGACACTCAATTTCTATACATTAAATGATACAAAAGTTACATTTTTGATGCGTTTCGACCATCAAATATTTCTTTTTGATGCATTAACGTAATTATTATAATAAACATATCAATAACGTAACTTCGAAATTTTTGTTTGTCCTGCTGCATAACGCATAATTACAAAACTATTTTGAAAACAACCATTAATTACCAGTACAGTCAGAGATATTACCAAATACGATAATGCTCCAGACTTATCTCGGTTTCCAATTCCTAATTATAATTAATATATCAATAACGTAAGGGATGTGACAATAATCAGGTGATTTTTTAGGGGGGAGGGAGGGTAAAAAATTTAAAATTATATATAAAGACCTGATCAAAACATATAATAAGAGGGGGGGAGGGGATAAGCTTCTGATAAAAAAAAATCAGATGATAAATGACACTGCCCTAACTTTAAAATTTTTTATCTGTTCCACCGCATGATGTATAATTACAAAACTATTTTGAAAACAACAATTGATTACCAGTCAGTCAGGGATATTACCAAATACGGTAATGCTCCAGACTTATATTGGTTTCCAATTCCTAGTATACAAAAATTCTAATTATATATAAACAAGACATAGTAGTTTAGATAGGCTCAGGTCATAAATAAACATAATCTAAGTTTTGTGTAGTTATGATATTAAATATTTATAAAAATTAAAATAAAATTATATACAATACAAACACATATACAGTCAAACCTCCCTATAGTCACCCTCTATATAAGCACATCATATAAAAATTCTCTTTATAAGCACATTTATTTTAAAACCAACTATTATAATTATATAAAAAAAAACCTCTTTATAAGCTTATCTTAGTAAAATTCTCTTTACAATCACACAAATCTTTATTCCAAGGGGTGTGATTATAGAGAGGTTTGACTGTATTAATAAAGACACAAGGCACAACATCACCTTAAAAAAAAAAAATTTCATAATAAATTTTACCTTTAGTAAATACTAAATAAATTCTTAAATGTTTTTTAAATTACAAATTTAGTTTTAATTTCAAGCTAAATATAAAATTATAATACAGTATATATTTTCTAAATACAAATTTACTTTAAATACAATATTTTTTTTTTTTTTTTTTTACTTAGAGGAGTACCATTTATTACGTAATTTTTTAGGGAGGGTCGCAATTTATCACATTTATATAAACCTTATAATTGGTTATTGATTTTATCACCTAGGGAGAGGGGGTGTAGCCTTCTAATACTGTAAAAAAAAAAAATTACATAATAAACGGCACACCCCTTAAAAAAATTTTTAAACCCCAGTAAGCTATACTTAAAATCAACTATATTTTGACAATACAGATATACTAAATAAAAAATGGTTAGCATCTCAAAACCTCACCCTAACTAATTTGAACCTATTACTTTGTATCTTAGGATACCCATTCTTAATTTTATGTATAAACCATAAAAACATACGTAGTGTTAGCGCCACTGGTGTAATTTAATATAACTGTATAATAATATCAAAAAGAACCAATGTTATTGCATACAATAGAATGTTATATGTACACATCACTCTGGTAATATCGACACTCAAAAAATCAAAATATATCCATATGTCGGTTTAACCAGAGGCATTTCATATTAAGTATATAGGTTTAAAATTTTAAAAAATGTCGTTATAGCCAGATATCGGTATATCCAGATGTCGATATAACCAGAGCGACGTGTAATACCTTAATAAATAAATAAATAAATTTAATTTTTTTAAATAATATAAATCAGAAAAATTTTTATTTTGCTAAAACATTTGTTACAGAAATAGGTCGTCACGTAATGGTTGCTCTTCTCCTTTTTGTAAATTCATGATCTCAGTTAATGCTTCGTACACCTAATTAATCGTATGTTAGTTAGTTGTTTATATAAATATCACAAATAAATATTTATTTTTTACCAGTTTTATGTGTGCGTTAATTTTAGAAATGTCTTGAGTGTATTGGTCTGATTTTCTATTACAAAGTTTGTAGGTCAAGAAGTAATAAATTGGAAAGAAAACTCCACTCTTTTCTCCTACCTTTGTAGTAATTTCTCTTTACGATCGATATATTTGATCGCTTCATCCAAAGTCAATTGCACATGAAACCCAAACCCAACGTTTACATAGATATATGTAGTATCGGGTCTGCTCAAACATTAAGAAATTTAATAATTTCTTATTTTCATTGATGGCACCCTTAAATTCTAAACCTACATTTTCGCTTGTGCGTAAAAGTTTGATCCTAAATCAATCATGGTTTTTAATTCTTTTAGTTCGTTCGATTTGATTAGCTGAATATAGTTTTTCAACTTCATACTTAAAGAAACGAATGGATTATTAAATATTCAAAAAGAGTAATAAAAAACACATTATAAAACACTTTACTAATCCGAGGATTCTTCATATATCTTTTCACGCAAATCCCAAACATGTTTTAAATCAGGTTCTAATTTTTCGTGCAAAAATTTTTCGTACTCAGCAATCTTCTCTGTATCTTTCACCATGATCAAGGAATTTAGGTTTGTGCTCTAAAGATAACTGCTACTATATCGTGTTAGACGCGTTTCACGTGGTGTTATTAAATTTATCAGGTATATAATTGGTAATAATTGTTTAGCTTTATCGTTATGTCATAATTGTGCGGATTCGAGATGGTCCGTGATTCAGTACTACAGATTTGTACAGCCAATCATTTGATGCATTTTTTGGCGATCATTAATTTATGGTGCTTTTTCAGCAGCGAATCGAAGATTAAACATTTATATTTCTTGCAAAATATAATTTGATTCTTGTTTGATCTATACATACTTTTCAAAAGACGTACTATATTCTGCTCTCTTGTATAATAGCAATTAAACTATAAATACTTTTTGGTAAAATGGAGCCAATAGACGCCAACGAATATTTGATCCAGTACCTAGGAAGTACGATCCTATTTTTTACGGGAATAAGTTAATATAAGAACCAAACTGCCGTGACTTGATCTAACATGTTGTTCCGTTTATTAACTTCAGGCATCGATAACCTTCCTTCCGAAATTCATTATCATTTTACTGAGCTAACAAATAAGGATCAAGAAATTGAGCGTATGTTCAATATTCAATTTTAAATCTTCCATAGTGTTTTTATGCCTGTTCTTTCACTCAAGATATATATTGCAATGATGTATAAAGAACTGGCGGAGAGAATAGAACGTCGTAAGAAAAGACTGTGGTGTCTATATGATGGTATTCCACTTGAAGAAGATAGTGATTGTTCCGTAATGGAAAGTGTTTACGAAGATCAAGATACAGACGATGATGACTCGGATAGTGAAGTTGAAGATCGTAACGAAGATGAACAGACTAGTGATCATATTGTTAAAAAGAAGCGGCGTCGTGTGTCTCGCGTTATTACTGAATTCGAAGATGAAGAAATGCTAAAAGACAAGATAATTAAAGATTATCTAAGAGCTTCACAATTACAGGATGAAAAAATCGAAATTGCTGATAAAGCTCTTGCACTAGTAAGTGTGTTTAAACATATTGTATAGCCATAATATTATAATATCGTATTGTACGGTTAAATGTATATTACACTGTTTTATAGGTCGAAAGACATATAAAACGCCTTGACGAAGATTTTGATAGTCTATTTCCTCAGCATAATCTTCGCGAAAATCTTCATGAATCTTCCACTTCAGCTCCACCGAGTCCACCCAGAATAGATCCTCTAATGACAATTCAACCATCAACACATCACGTGAATACTATATCAACATCACAAGCAACTAGGACACCTGTTCATCAGCCAATTTCAGCAGTAACACCTATGCCAACATCCAATTTTCCTAACACATTTGATTACAATAAAATTTATTACCCCTCGTCAAGCGCTGAATCTGAAGAAATTCGTAAGTTATACTAAACAAAGTTTTGGTATATTTCTGGTATTTGATTTGTTGTCTTTCTAAAAAGAATTTATGTTACGATTATATCAATACAGCATTACCATTTTTACCAAATCCGACAAGTTCGTCTGCAACACGGTGTAATAAAGGTATTATTGTGTGTGATAGCTGCAACTATTCTTTTATTCATTAATGTATTTATTGTTGAATATTACTTCACTGACAGAAGACTCTATGATCTCAGGTCGCCGACCGTCTGCAATAACCGTTAGTGGTAATAGCGCAAGACGTCGAAAGCAAATGTTCGTTTAAATTTTTATAAGAAATTTACAAAGATATATATATGCTTGCTTTAGATTCATTTTTCTTTTTAAATAATAATAATAGTTCTCAGAATAATATATCAACTTATATATCAAATTCGGACAGTCATCTCTCGAGTGGAATCAAATTACGATTGCATAATGGAGAAGAAAATTCGAATTCTGGGTCGTCGTCAGTTACTGATCAAATCACGAATGTTGACATGGACCTAATGGATCCAAGCACTGACGCATATGAAAATCCACTTATGTCTAGCGTCAACACATTTACATCAGGTTTCGTACAGCCTATTGATCCGAATGAACCGGTATATTGTATTTGTAGACAAGTCAGTTTTGGAGATATGATTGGTTGTGACGGAGAGGTAAGAATAATTATATACAGTCAGACCTCTCTAAATGCATACCCTTGGGACCATAGTAAAAAAATTTCAAAACGTGCATTTAGAGAGGGTGTGCGTTTAGGAAGGTCAAAATCTATAATTGTTATATTACTTTGGACCAAGCAGAGGCGTGCATTAGAGAGATTTTTCATATAGCGTGCATTTAGGGAGGTCTGACTGTAATCAGAGTTTTATAATTGAACTAACCTGATACCGTATTTTTACAGAATTGTCCTATTGAATGGTATCATCTCGACTGCGTCGGGCTCAAAGCTGTACCAGAGGGCAGTTGGTTTTGTGATACTTGCAGAGGAAATACAAGCCAAACTAAAAAAAGGAAAAGAGGCCGACCAGCTGGATCGTGAATTGGAACTATAGTTATTGAACAATACCTTTCCCGCATAATGATGAAAAACGTAACTTAAAACTGGCGAAGACGAAGGAAAAAACTCGGCTAAACCCCATATTCTTCTGGCGAAAGACGAAGCCTAAAAAACGAAAGGCGAAACCTGGCGAAATCCTAGCGAAAGTGAAGCTTTCGGCGAAAAAAAAATATGAATAAATCAAAAATTACGAAAAGCGAATACTGGTGTAACCTGGCAAAAGTCATAGCTTCTGGTAAACAACCAAGAGGGCTAAACTATAATTATAATGTGATACTGGCTGTTATTAATAAAAATAAACATGTGGCTTTTTATATTTATTGATATTTAAAAAAATAATAATTTAATATCTGGGACTTTTGATCCGGCTTGTATATATATATTTAACTCTTATAAAGTCAATTAATATATAGAACTGAATAAGTCATTAACATTTAAGTTAAATAAACTATTTTTTGTTAGTGAATTTATTGGTTTGAAATCATTTTTCACTATAAAAGTTTAAAACATTTAGTTAAAATTTAATATCGTAATTAATAAAATCTATAAGATTCGGTTTTGAGTAATTTGCTAGTAAGTAATACGTATATCTTATGAAAGCTATAAAAGTTCAAGATTTCATTATAGAAAATCTATTTTTTATTGTTTTTGTTTTTAATATATTTCTTTTTTTTTTTGTTTATATATTTTATTGTAATCTCCTATATCTTTATTTTTTTTAATACTTATTTAAAAAATTGAGTTGACATTTGGTGTTTTTGTAGTCTTAGTAATATGCAAATTACATATCGATTTTTTTAAGGCTAAATTTGTTGTATCTAGTAAAATTAGCTTTTTATTACATGTTTCTTTTACTTTACTGCATTTTATTTAAAATTAACAAGTTACGCATACTTATAATAATCAAATAAATATAGTATTATTTATAAAAATTATTTTAATTAATAACTATATATAAACAATTTAGTTTAAAAAATAAATTTAATAAAATTTAAATAACTAATTCTTATTTAATCTTAGTATTAAAATTAAGCTATATAGTTAAATAAACTAATGTTTTTAAACTATATATTTTTTTGAAACATAGATAAAATTAAATTTGCTTTTAGGTATAATTAAATTTCTAATACGTAGTTATGTTTTTTTTTTTAATGTTAAGGTAAACTCTTTTAACAAGAAAGAAATTTACAAGAATTATATATGGATTTCATATTTGAAATAATAAGAGTAAAAACTCAGATATAATATTAGAATATTATAATATAATTATCTGCGGCCTAAACCTACAATAATTATTTTTTCTTTTATTCTTGATATAACGATAATTAATTTACAAAAATTAATCAACTCCAAGCCCAACTAGTAAAAATATATCTGATATCTTTATTTTCTGCTTAGTAAGTGAGTATGGGTATTATGATGCACACGTGATATCTCGTGACCCAATGATCAGAATCAGATGATTTTACTACCATTCAATTCGTCTCGTCGAGGCGAATCGAATGATGGTAAAATCATCCGATTCTGATCACTGGATCACGAGATACCATTATTTAAATAAAATTAACAAATTTTTATTTATTAATTTTAATAAGAAACAATCGTAATACATTAATAACAGATTTTTTTATTAAGTAAATCGATCTTCATTATTAAGACAATTTTGTTCATCATAATAAACTCTAATTACCTCTAAATTTCTGATAATTTTTTATTAATTGACATTTGTAAAAAACTTTTGTGTTATACTGTAATACATCCTTTTTAGTATAAAATCGTATTTTATAAATGTCAATTAATAAAAAATCATCTGATTTTTGTGAAAATTTAGAGGTAAGTAGAATTTATATAACAAACATAATTGTTTTTTTGGTATTAAGGTGACCTCTTGGCCATTTTTCTTTTATTCAATTATTGTTAACTTTTACAATATGGTATACTATACCATATACATATTTGGAAAGTAAAACTAGCCACATGTGCAACTTTTGGTTTCCTATTGAAGTAGTTTGTTTATTACTAAGTTCTACACTAGATGGCATCCCAACATTCTGTGTCAAATTATGTTAATTTGTATAATGTGATATGTAGTATAATCAATATATATAATAATAAATGAACTGATTGTTTTACAAAATTTGAATATTGTATATTCATGTAATATTTATGTGGTAACAAATAAAATTTTTACAAAAAATATATGCATATCAAAATTATCTGAATTTTTTGCAAAAATTTAAGTTGGTTTCTATTAGCAAAAATTCCATATAGGTATTGTTTTAGCTGCGTTTATATTTTCTAGTAACTGATCAACAAGTTATCATTCAGAATCAATAAATTATTGATATTAAAAACTTGTTATTTCAGTCATTTTTCAAGTATCTCAGAATTTAAAGTAATGCATATCCAACAATTTTATGTATAGTCTGAAGGTTTTTTTATATAACGGTCTCTATAAAAAATGGTGTATAGGATTTATGATTAAACATGGATATATAATATCATAAGAATATACAAAACTATGTGGAATATAACAAGGAACAGTACATGAAAAAATACATGTAAAAAGGTGCTAATTCCATATAAACCATTTATAATTTTGTGTACATGCTATGTATATAAAAAAATTTCATACAATTACAGTATTCTTGATATACTATATTTCGTGTTAACATGTGTATTCATATATAAAAATTTTTTATGAAGAGTTTTTGTAATTTTTATATAACATGTTATGTTTATTTCACACCCTATAGCCCATTATATAATAATGGACTCTAACACTAGTAGTAGAACTCTGAGCAATTTATAAACAGCTAATATTTTTAAAAAATCTTCTAAAAACAAAAAAGATCTATGAAAAATAGTTACAAATAAGCATTAATATTACTAAATATAGAAAAGATTTATAAAAAAATAGTTAAAAATAAGCAAAATTAAATTGCAATCTATTTATATATAGCTCAGGATCCTTTAATAGTATATGCAAAAAAAGATAATTATATCTACATTGTTTAGTCTTGGTATATATATGCAATTTATATATAATTTTATAAATTCATAGTAGCAGAGATCAACTTTATATTTACAAATTTTATAAGTTATATAATATAATTTAAAAGTCTTAAGTATAAATTTTTGTTATAGTTGATTATAGATCTTTGCTGCAAGGTCAACATCAAATAGAATTTATCAAAAAAGGTTTATCCAGTTTGCATATTCATCATGATGACTCCACTATAATAATATTAGTAGTTTGGATAGATGGTTTATTTAAAACTTCTAATACAAAATAGGGTATAATCTTGTAAATATTACCGAACAATTTTTTTTTATATAGCCTCAAATTTTATATATACAACAAAATGTTTATTAATAAAAATTTATTAATACTTTAATCTTTTAATTTTATTCTGTATGATAAATTATAATTGTAAATTAAGTATAAAACAATTTACAATAATAATACTTGTACTCTTATTTATTTATCTGTGTTATGAATTTTTTATATAAAATATTTCTAATTTTAGGTAGCTGAAAATATATGTTCAAATCTATTTTAATATTTTTTTTATTTAGTAATGTTAAAAAAATTTATTCGTCTAACATTTAAAATTCTTGTACAATTAATCTCTTAATTTATACTTATTTATCCCTAAATTATTATATTAGATAATAATTGAATCCAAGTTAGGTTAATTCAAGAATATTCAGATAGGTCAGGTATCCAGGTTGTGATTGTGTCTACTCAGATAGGCTTGGATAAGTAGACCTGCAGATTTACTTGAGTAGAATTAGACAGGTTAATTTACAGGTCTATCTGTAAACTAAATCATAAATCTATTCATGAGCCAACTCATTGTGTTTTTATAATTTCTGAAACACCTGATAAAAAATTTGTCAAATGGTTTTTTGGCTGATTTGGTTAAGTTATTGATTTTGGCATGATTAATATATAATGATAAATTACAATTATATTACGTTATATACATATAAATAATTTGAAATATATATATTTTCACACAGACTAAACACATTACAGCACTAAACATGTTAGATAAATATTTAAACAAAAATTTAGTAATATTAAACGTGCTAATATTTTATAATATTAAAATTATCATAAAAATTAGAGATATTATCCTGCTTAAATCTGCTAGTTTGTGCTTTGAAACCTGTTCAAATACTGTTTGGAAACACATAGGTAAACTAGATTTCAAAATCTGCTTTAAACTATTTATATGCATATACTATTAGTTATATACACTTAAACATGTTAGTTTAAAAACTGCTAAATATTTATTTATTATATATAGTATATAATAAATTATACATACATTTCGCTTGATATTTATTATATTTTATTGCAGTAATTTATTTCTTTGACCCTTATGTATTTAATTATACCCAATTCACAAATAAAGGTTTGTACCAACATTTTCTTCAGATCTATATAGCTCAACATTTGTTTTACTAATATTTCTTATTAATTTATTTACTTATTCAGATAATTATGTTTAAACTATAGAAAAACCTGTATTTATTGAAGAGGCTTGATTGCAATATTTGCAATATTATTTACTTGTAGCTACTTTCAACAAGCTCATCTCAAATAGAATTAGTTTTAAAGTGTTTTGAAGGACTGTTTGTTGTGTATGCTGTGATAATATTAAAATAAATGTGGAGGTAAGTTCATTTATTTTATTAGGTCAAATAATGTTGTTCAAAACTTTTATAGAGCTAGTACACAAAGTCTAATAATGCTAACAAAATTTTTGTAATGCAGGCCAATAATCATATGTCACTGCATTAATTTATGTAAAGGTTATTGTAATTTTATTGAATTTATTATGCCAAAATAATAACTTAACCAGAACAGATGAAAAATCATTCAGAAGATTTTTTATCAAATGTAGTCACATTGCTTTAGTACTATAGATGCTGACTTATTTACATCACTAATTACAGCTCAATTGTATTTTATTTTATGATCTGATTTTTTATATAAGATGTAAAGGGACTTCCAGAAATTAGCTGATTAGGGTTTACTAAGTGATCACCTCAACCCACCCACCTCCCACCTGATATTCAATCAACCAATCAGATTTCATGTTTATTAAAACTTATAATTAAAATTATATAAAATATAAAATATTGAATAACTTTTGATCTACTAAACCAATTGGGATAATTTACTACCAAAATGATCCTCTCATTAAGAGGATTCTA